TATATATTTCTTCAATGTGGATGAATTGTTGAAAACTAGAGGCAGCGAGAACGAACATGCCATTGTATCCACTTCAAAATACCAGTGTTATGATCAAGACGCGAGTATTTTCGATAAATACACACGGTATTTGTATGCCCATTTAAAAATGAGATGTCTAATTTACAGAAGGCTATGTATGATATTATTAATAAAAAAATACACGCCCAATAAATAGATACACAGTGTTCCTTTTTTTTTTTAAACATATAGGGGCACATACAGTATATATATATATAGTCAAACCTCTTTGTATGTCCACCTCTTTTAAAAGAATGGTGTCTACCTCTTTATATGTTCAGTTTTTATTTGGGCATACCCATATGAGAGTCAGGCCCTTTCGGGGGCAGGTCCATCAGCCTGCCCCTCCTCGGGCCGGCGTACCTGTGTGTGTAAACTATTGACAACAATTTTAGATTAGGTTGTAGTAATATCTAAGTACATACACTACTGTTTATTAATTTCTGATGCAAGACACTTCTAGTGGTGATGGTTGTTGTGTGAAAGAATGCATGATCACGCAACCAACGTCAGGTACACACAAGTGTGCTGGTTGCGACCCCAGTATGCATGCAATTTATGGCGTGCACATTGGCGAAGGGCATGGCTCAATGGGTTGCTGCTTGTCTACAGATAAATGTCAGGCGTCAGATTATCGTGGTGATTCTTTGTTCTACAATGGCACACCGACTAAGCCAGACAACTCGACACAAACTGTATCTGTAGCGATCGAGCCAGACAAAACAACACAGACTACTGAATAATTAGTGCCTTTGGTAGCTCCGTATCTGTCCCACAAGTCAGTCCCTGAACCTGGTAGGGTGAATCTGACCCAGGCGTGTCTACCTCTTTATATGTTCAAACTTTTGCTAAAAACGGGAAATGGACATATAAAGAGGTTCGACTGTTCAATTTAGAGGGCTATGTTTTTCTACTAAAAATAAAACAAAACAAAACAATCAAATATTTATTAGGCCCGTTCCATCATCAAGTATATATTTTGAATTATCGATTTTTGGGTCGAATATTTGTCAAGAAAAGCAGATATTGGAAATCCGACCACTGAATATCCACCGATGTCCCTCTCGATTCGATAGGGACCTCGGTAGTAATTCGATATCGAATTTGATAAATCGAATTTTTTTTTTAGGTGGGGGGGTTTTGGTAAAAGACAAATAACCAAACTGGCGCCAGATCTCAAAAATCTGTAATTCGTACAAAATAGGGTTTTTTAGGGTTGTTTTCTATTTTTCAAAAATTCAATCAATCTCGAATTGTCGAATTTGAGAAAAACAAGTGCCTTAAATTCGATAATTGGGGTCGAAAAATTGGATGATGTTCGAGTCGGAGGGACTTCGACGCCTCTACAATCTACAATTCTACAATACATGATGAACGGCTTCGAAGTTTTTACAGATTGTCAGAATACTCACATTCACAGAACAGATACGGATCATAAATATATATATATTTGTTGTAATTTTTTAAATTTAAAAAACAAAATAGAGCCTTGCAAAGCCTTCAAATTGAAGTTATTTACGTTCAGGGGTTTTTATTATTATAAAACACATAGCCCCCTAGGAAAAAAACAAAATATCAAGTTTTTTATGGTATTTATGTAAATACAAGTAAATATATGTAGGTCTATAGGTGTTCTTAGGTCTCTTGTCTATAGGGTTTCTTTTATTTTATTTTTTTGATATAAAACACTAAAAAAAAACAAAGAAACTATACATAGTCGCTGACTCGCTGGCCGCTTGCCCGCTGGCCCTGGGGCTGGGTCACTGACTCGCTGGATGAAAAATATTTTCTCTCCAGCAGGGACCAACCGCCAATTCCAGTGCCCGACTTGGATTCTGTCGAGAGGATACAATACTGTATATTTTCTTAAATAAATACATACGTAGTGTAAATATAAATATTGAAGTTAAACGTTTAGGAAGTGGCAAATACTTTTTTAATATTTATAGAGTTTTTTAACATAGTATGGGTTTTTTATCTTAAAAGTTCCCCAACA